GCACCGGGAGGCGCTTAAATTAAAAAAAAAAAAAAAAGTCGCTCCGTTTTTTCACTTACAATTAATCGGAGCTGCCATGTGGAGGCACGTGGGTGTTGTCTTGTCTTTTATTAAAACGGTTTGTTTTACTGTTTGCCAAAATCAAGTTGGGATGCAAACATCCAGTGGGTCTAATAATGCAAGAAATCGCCTCTACCACGAGTCCTGATATTCAGCAAGAGAAACTAATCCTACCTGCGAATTTAGGAGTTGTTTCACACTGCTAGATTTAAGAAGTCATGCCGAAATCCTGATTTTTATTTTATTTATTTATTTTTTTTTTAATGTAGGCGTGTTGCAGTCTGTCCCGACTATCGTAAAGCAAATGGTGGTCACGTTAAAACTCTTTCGCTGTCTTCTGGTGTGTTTAGACCCTGTTCAAAAACGTTTATCCTTTCTAGCTGTTTGGTCGGCTGTTACTTGAAAAGTCAGGAGATTTGGCCTCCCAGGCAAGGATCATGTTGATGCACCCAACATGTCGGTCCTTTTTTTCCCCTTATTAATGCTAAGGCACCATGTTACGTTTCAGACATAAAGGTGTATAAGTTCAAAAGCATTCGGCACAAGTCCTGCGCATCCGAACCCAACCTTGTTGCGTGGCTAAAAATGGTTTTTTTTTTTCCTTAATTATATGTGTTCTATAACACTAGTTTTTACTCTCTTCATAAGTGACCATCACATCTTGCTTAAAATACAGAACATTAATGCAAATTTTCAGGACTTAAACCATTACCAGTGTCTGAAAATCAGACTTCAGTGAAAATCAAAAACTTCAATAAAAATATGTATGAGTATGTCCCCTAAATTGTCTTGGATCCTGAATAATTATAACACGGATGATCCTGGACTCTAACTGCAGCATTTAAAGTTTGTTTTTGTTTCTTATCATCCATAGCAATGTGTGTAACTAATATTCTTCAAGCCTTTGTTTTCAATATCCTCATCCAACCCTTAGTAGGAAGGTTAGTACTTCAACCTAAAACATGTGATGCAAAACTAAATATGGGGAAGCAGTTTTTCATGGCCTTGGGCAGTTTTGCTAATGCCAGGTTCTATACTGCATTCATTATATTTGATGTTTCAAAACAGACTTTAGTAACAGTCAAGCACATCCTAATTGTTTGTTTTTTTTTCTGTAGATGGTAAATCAGGCAACTTATTTTTTTACAAACAAAATAATTACACATTTATGCCACTTGCAAGATCATAGGGAGAAGTAGTATGGAAACTGCGGATCACGAAAAAGATTAGTAAAGATTGGTCACATGGAGTGCGTGGAAAACTAAGCGATATCTTTTATGTCAAAATAAAAAAATAGAAAATAAGTTATTTAAAAAATTAAATAACCTGCAGTCTTTCTCCTACTCTGTAGATCTTTGCCACGAAGAGTTGCTTTTGCCTGTACAGAAGCAGCAGTTATGTGATATATCAACATAGTTAAAAAAATTTTAAAATTCCTATTCTTCTTTTCCTGTGCCTGCCGTTGAAATGAATGAGGAGTCAAGTGTGGAGAAAAATTGTAAGACAGTTGCATTACTTTCCCTTAGGAATGGAGGCAATACTTTCTGTAAGAGAAAATGTTAATGTTGCCTACCTTAAAAGCCAAATAAAACTTTAATTGGCAGAACTGAGACTCATGGTGTAGTAGTTAGGCTTTGTCAGTCTATAAAATACTCAAAGCATAGCAGTTGCTCTTAAATACTTTTGCTAACATTTTATAGTTCTCAAAATCACACTGTTGTAACTGAACATTTTTTTTCACCAGGATACACATGAGGAGCATGACACCTCAACTGAAAATGCAGATGATTCTAACCATGATCCTCAGTTTGAGCCTATAGTTTCTCTTCCTGAGCAAGAGATCAAGACTCTCGAGGAGGATGAGGAGGAGCTGTTTAAGATGTAAGTAATATGTTACTGTATGTGCTTGTCACTTGTTGCTGCTAAATATTTTTTAAGCAAATCGATAAAGCTAGCTTGTTACAAGCCACTATGCAGAGGGCAGCAGTAATCTAGGGTAATATATAGTATGAGATCAGGTAAATAGCTACGCATGTGATTAATGTCAGTTTATCCGGGCATGATGGGAGTTCCAAGATTGGGACTTTGTGTAACATGATTGAAATCATGGTTGCCAGCACTAATTAGATATTAGTGAAAGCTTAGTTTGGAAAACAAACCTTTTAACTTGAATTGTGCAAAAATATGAGAGAGACTGCAAAAAAGGAGGTTACAATAACTTCAGTTACTTGCTACTTTGCAGGATAATGAAAGTTGTTGGGCTGTTCCCTGAGCACCTGTCTGGAAATTCAAACAATGTCTAGTTGAGGCTGTCCAAAAAGATAAGACTGTTTAACAAGCTGCCATTTGAGTTTCTCGCCTCTAGAGTAGGGGTGTCAAACTCAAATGAGCCATATTCCCTGCCAACAGCCAGGGTTTGGGCCATTGCTAGAGTGAACAACCCACCTCCAGATCTGGGCCACAGGGTTTCTTTCTCACCATGGCTACAGAAGCCCCTATGTTGCCACAGCCAGTACCCAGCTTTAAACACCACCCCCCACCCTTTTCCTCTTGCCAACTACTGCTAATTTTAGTGGCCAACAGTGACCAAAACCCAGAAATTTGCTAGCAAGTAGTTGGGAGGAAGTGATGGTAGCATTTATCCCCTGGGTGCTGGCTTGCATCAGCATAGCTCTGGCAACTGAAATGACAAGCTCTGGAGTGGATCTAAAGGTGGATTTGCCCCATGAGCCATACGTTTTTCGCCCCTCTGCCAGAGGACCATCAGTTCAGTGACGCATGTAACTACAGATAGAGATTTTTGAGGGAGAACAACAAATTGAGGGTGTTAAAATAGTGTCACCTCCCTTCCGTGATAAAACATTAGGATCAAAAGACTTGTCTAGATCCCGCTTACAGCAAAATGTTGCTTAAGTGTTCTTGGTTGCATGGCTACACATGACTCCTAGAGCATGGCAAAGATGAGCACAATTGTTAAATAACCCTTTATTTCTCAGGTGGGTAACAAAGCTTATTCTGATGCACAAAAAATACATTTGCTTTTAAACTTTATCTCATTTTTCTGTTTTTCAGCATTGGAAGGAAGATCGTTTGATATAGAAAGGAAGTTCTCTAAATAAAATCACCAATTTTAAGATGAGCAGTAATCTTAAAAAGGATATACTCTAAATTTTGGAATCTCTAGATAAAAAAGCAGTACATTTTATTTTTTTTTAAATATTTGTAAGCAAGTCTGATTTTTCTTTCCAATTAGAAAATTGATCCTGTAATTGTTATGGGAGGCCATCTTGCAAACTGAGGGAATCAAGCAGTAAGGTTCAAAGGAAAGAATTCTAAGATTGAATACCTCTGCATTTAAATTTTTCTCATGCTGGAAAATATCTTTCATAAGCTAATTATTGATAGTATATGGGATACCTGTTGAGAAAATAACAAACCTAGAGAGATAGTGGGTAGCTCGCCTTTAAGTCCTGTAGATTTAAGAGCTTCAGTGCTTACTTTACTAAATACACAAGCGTTGCTGGTTGTAACTTCAATATACTAATTGTATTCCAAGTATACAGAAGAACTTGAATCCCAGGAAAGTTATTGCTGTTACATGTTAGATATCTTAAAAGCACAAGGATTAGCTTTTGATGGCAAAAGATAAAATATTTAGTGCTGATATGCACTTATTTAGGCTTTTATGCAGACGTGCTTTCATTGCCCATGTTGTAGGCTGCTGAAGTTTTTAATGGTTAGTATATGGTTCTGTTTTGAAATTAAAAATCAACACTGATAACATGCTGCATATGCAAACCCTTGTTTTGTACTTTAACTTGCATGCAGTCTGGAAAGTTTTCATAGAATAAATGTTTCGGTGAAAATGTAGTTCATTTTCTGTGCATCTCAAGTCCTATGGATGATCTGTAAGGTCCCTTCCTGCCCCCTAACAACTATGAAACTATGAATCAAACTGCTATGTTGGACAGAGCAGCATCCTTTATCTGTTGTGGTATCTAAATTAACGATTTCTTGCTTGCAAACTCGGATCTCATTTCTTTCTTTCTTAAGGCGAGCAAAGTTGTTTCGATTCGCATCAGAAAATGACCTTCCAGAGTGGAAAGAACGAGGAACTGGTGATGTAAAGCTCCTGAAACACAAGGAGAAAGGAACAATTCGCCTCCTCATGAGAAGAGACAAAACCCTAAAAATCTGTGCAAATCATTACAGTATGTTTGTTATGCCATGTCCCATAATAGCTTCCATTTGCCTTTTTCCCTTCATGTGCAATATCCCTGTCAACTTTGTAGAATTCATACATATTTTGTTTATCCTCAAGCTTTCATAAATAGGGTTAGAAGAACAACCCAATGGCTTTTTAGCAGTGATTAAGTCAGTATTTTGGTAAATTTTGACACTAAATTTAGTAGTTGGGAACAACCTCATAATACTGCAGTTAACTTATTTACAATATGGTAAATAATCTGAAAATTTTTGACTATGCAATGAAGTCTTCAGATTTGCGGGCAGTTTCTGTCAGATGTAGCAGTATGGAGTTTGAAAGTTCTGATAGTTAAAATCACAAACTTGGGGTGATTTAAAAAAAAAAAAAAAAGAGGCTAAGGCAGTTTATAACACTTTGGTTGGATCTAGCATAGAAAACTTGAATAAAAGGAGATGTCTTTCGAATTTGTGCGTGGCAGTATTTTGAAAGTTCAAAACCCACATAGAGTGGGTTTTAAAGTTTAGTGTATACGTGGTACAATATTAAAAAAGCCTGGTACACTAGCATCTTTCCATGAGGGTGTACCATGGTAGGTACAACACAGTAGCTTTTTATTCCATGGTAAAATTAAGCTAATCTGTGACTGGCTAGCCAAGTTGTCATTGGCTGAGTACACCAGGTTAGCTTTTATTTTACTGTAGGGTAGGAGCATGCAGGAAGCTTCCATGGAGCACTTGGTAGGTCATACCACAAGAAAGTAGTTGGCATGGTAATTTTTACCATTTTCATACCGACTTCATACATTTTAATGATCAAATTGAAGTGTAAGTTTAAAAAAAAAAAAAAGTTTTAGTAAATGGGCTTTATTTAAAGAACTAAAATTTGAAATCAGTATGAAATTGGGGTCTACATTTGATATGATCTGATAAAGCAATACATACCAGCTGCCAAAGCTTTGTAGGAATTCAAACCAGCAAACTGCTAGAAGCAGTTGTCTAAGCTCCAACCACTGGACTGACAGCATTAGCTACATCTGCAGGTGCAGAAAGTCTGGTTTTTTGTTTTTTTTTTTTATTTCAGCTTATTTGACTATATTCAGAAATAATTTGGCACTTTTAAAAGCAAGAAAGCTTGAGAGAGAAACAATATAGGAATAAAAATAAGGATGAGCTTTAGATTCTCCTCTTCTGGTCCTTCCTTCCCTCCCTCTCTCTCCCCC